AAATGACTGGAGAGTCAGTCATTTTGTAAAATGCCTAGGCTTTTTGCAAAAAGCCTGGAAAATCAGGCATTTTGCAAAATGCCTAGGCATTTTACAAAATGACTGATTTTCTAAAGTGCCTGCAACATATATATATATATATATATATATATATATATATATATATATATATATATATATATATATATATATATATATATATATATATATATATATATATATATATATATATATATATATATATATATATATATATGTGTTGACCTCGAAAGGTCAAGGTCAAAGGTTGACCTCAGGTCACGTGACCTCGAGGTCATCATGTATATCATTCGATGCGTTTTGACGAGCTGAACACAATGAGACCATCCGCGCGGCGGTATCTTGTTCCTATACGGAGTTATTGGCAAAAACCCTTTGGTGACCTTTGATGACGTCACATGACCTTCCAGCTGCCCAACAGCAAAACAGATCTGAAGGTAGTGACGGTTGATCGTATATGAAGTCATATATGGTATATGGGGCCCTTCCGGCCCGTTTTAGTGGTAAAAACAGGGAGTTGATTTTCCCCCATTGACTTAGGTATAATATGGGGAGGTCGAGAAATTGACCTGACCTTAGGTCATCGATATCAAAATTCCGAGATATACAAATTGCAGCTACTGATGACTCATAACATCCTGCGGCTTTCAAGGGCCTCCGACATCTACTGTAGCTCTGGCACGGTGACAAAGTTGCAAAAAAAGTGACTTCAGGTTGGGTCATTCAAAGTGACCTGGTGACCTGACCTTAAAAGTTAGGGGGTTCAAACTTGCACACCATGTGTAAAATTGATGAGAAAATAGTCGTACCAAATTTCGCGGCGCTACGCGCCGCGGTTTTTCCGCTATTCGCGAAAAACCTCAGGGTGGGGGTGGGGGGGGGGGCGGATATCCGCCCCGCCCCGTCGGTGCGCGGGTCAATCGCTGTGATAGCTTTGCAGTGTGCGCTGGTCACTTTCAGGGACTCCACTACGGTCGCAGGTTTGAGGGATGTCCAACCCTAAAACGCACGCCGTCATACATTAGACTGCATTACGGAAGTCAAATTTTTGGGGGTTCGGATCCCCGCGACCCCACCGATGTGGTGGAGCCCGTGGCCACTTTCATTGGTATAGGTATAACTTATAACTTATAAGTAAGACAATGAGGAATGTTAGCCTGTACGCTTGTATTGCAGGGGAACGGAACGAGCAGATGCGATGCATGTTTTTTTAAATGAAAATGGCTGACTCCGGTTAATAAAGCCACCGCTTAAAAAATCCAAAACACCTTGTCACCAAGGTGGATTTATTAACCCGCGCCCCACTGGGGTCTGCGTATAACACGCCCTACTGGGGGGGGGGGGGCTCTCCATAGCAACTCCATAGCCCCCCCCCCCCCTCTTAACTCCGAAACTATACTGGGCCGATTGTCAAAATTCAAACGGCGTCTGATAGCCCTGGAAAAACTGTCGAGCAAAACCTAATTTTATTGACCTCGAGGTCAGCGATGACGTCAGAGGTCAGGTCAAAGTAAAAATTATTAGCATTTCGGCTTGTTCACATTTTGGGCTCTGGCCGGCGTCTTACAAGTCAGATCAGGCTCATTTTTTGTTTGCACACTCGTGAACAGATGCTCTAGATACCTTGAGGGTACAAAACTTGTACTTTGATTTTCAGGTCAGGGTCAGGTCATCACAGGTCACGGAAATATTATATCATGCGTCGGTCACGTGACACATGTTTTATGGTTCATTTAGGCCATATATTTCGAATTTGATGTCGTTTGTGTCATTCGAGGTCATTTTGAGTCGAATTTAGCTCAGGTCAGGTCACTTTCAGGTCAAAAAGGTCAAATTTTGAAGTTAATATTTTTCAACCAAAAATGTGTCAATTGGATGCAGTTTGAGCTCAGGAACACGATGGTACTATTTATATTGGTGTACGATGTCAAAAACGTACTGAAAAATTGATTTGAAAAATAAATAATTGTGATTTTTTGCAATAATGCGTGTAACTTGGCCATTTTTGAAGATATTCAGCTAAAACTTGCTAGAGTTAGTCATAAGCATACATTCTGTCACATATATTCCGTTTTTGTTTCGAAAAGTCAAAAACGTTTTGAAAAATATAAAAATATAAATTTTGAATATTATTATATACAATTTTCTAAATTTTCAAAATTTTGAAAATCCGAGATAGAAGTTTGATAGCGCAGTCAATTCTGAGTCCATTCATGCAAAGCAATTGGATCTAGCTTAAAAACTGAGCTCTTGGGAGCGATTGCCGTGGTTCAATGTTTTGCGTCGAAATCGGCCGAACATGACGTCACTCTGACGTCATTTCCGGCCGACCTATGGTAGCTACGAAGTTCAAATTTTGACACAAGGTGTCAAATTAATGCAGCCAAAGGTACTGAAAATTTGGCGTCGATACCTCAAGTGGTTTGGAAGTCATTGCAGAAAAAACGGGAGGGGGGCTATGAATAGCCCCCCCCCCCCAGTGGGGCGCGGGTTAAACGGATTCCACTGTATCTGCTATTTGCTAAGTGTACAGATCTGTCAGACGGCCGACGGGTGGTATAAATTTGCGCGGCGGACCAGGGCCATAGGTGTAGCAACGTATCTCTTTGGTGAAGGATACCTTTCACCAAAGTTTCAGATTGGTGAAGGATCCTTCACCAATCTTGGACAATGCAAGGGAGGGTCTTCACCTACCTATGCTTAGAACTACTGGATTCGACGGTTGATCAAATGTCTGTTTTTTAACCCGCGCCCGGCTGGGGGTCCTGGATTTCCACGCCCTGCTGGGGGGGGGGGGTGTTTGAACACCCCCCCTTCTAACTCGGCTCCTGGGCCACGTAGCGATACGTGGAAGGCGGCGTTCGAAAGAGCGCCAAAAATAATGACGAAATCACTTCGGTCGCTTTTTTGGTCAGGTCAAAGGTGATGTCACCAGAGGTCATTGAAGGCAAAATTTCGCCGATTTCCAGGTCGAATGTCGACAATTTCCAAGAAGCCAACACATAGCTCGGGAACCAATAGAGCTACAGCGCCACGGAAAAGCGCATTCGATAGCCCTATTAACGCCCTTTCTGAGTAATTCTCTCAGATTTGACCTAACGTCAACGGTTTTGCCTGCAGGGGGCAAAAAACTGCCAAAATAGACGATTTTTCGGGAACAGTTTTTCTGCAATAACTTTTGACTCAAGCCTTGCACGAGCTTTCTTTTACCGACATCGTGTTCCTCTTGTCAAGACGCATCGAATGAAGTATAATTTGACATTGAAAGTTCAACTTAAAAATTTGACCTCTGGTCAAGGTCATGATTTGACCGGACATTGTTATGTTGCATATTAGTGGATTTGTATCGTCGAGCTGAACATATATATAAGGCGTTTTCATCGCTCTAGCATGCCTCTTTCAAAAGTTAGTCGCAAAAAACTGTTAGATACCATTCGTGACCTGAGATGACCTTAGGGGCATAAACAGGGGTCACGGGTGCCGTTTTCATGTTCAGTGTGTCAAAGTTACTTGTAATTTAGTGTTTGAGAGTGCTTAGAATGACTTTCGTCCGAAAAAGACGGTTTTGAATTTTCTCCCATTGACTTATAATACCTAGAGAGGTCGCAAAATTGACCCGACCTTAGGTCACCGATATGAAAATTCCGAATTTTGTACATACTGTTGCACTTATCAATTGCTGAAAGCTTCAAAGCGATCCGTCACTTGGTGTAGCTATGGCATACATTGAAACAGTTTATGATGTGTTTATGAGGTGAGGTCACATGTAGCGACCTGGTGACCTGACCTTGAAGGACCCTGGTCTGAAATTTTCACAAAATGTATAAAATTGATAGATGATAAGGTGCCGCCGTTTTCAGATATCCACGAAAAACCGCAGACTCCAGGTGTTCAAAAACCTCCCCCCCCCCCCTCCCAGCAGGGCGCGGGTTAACACACTTTGACCATTTGCCCCAGTAGTCAAAATTCCTTAGCCGAGGCCCTGATTTACATCTTGCTGTCATGGCAAGATGCACAATTCAATTTTAGGCAGGCATTGAAAATTTGACGTTAATGGGATGATAAGGGCGTAAGATATCTGCGAAAAACAAGGGGTTGGCGAAATTCGCCCCCCCCCCCCCCCGCTTGCACTGTGCGTGTTGGTTGGCACGGTCCTGTCCCTTTTCATAAGGTTCAGGTGGCATCCTTCACCAATATTTTTGGCGCTCCTACACCCATGACCAGGGCAGAGGTCAGTCACAGGGGGGGGGGGGGGGGTCAGAGCCCAGAGCCGGATCCAGCTCAGAGTTTTTTTTTTGGGGGGGGGGGGGGCAAACCATAACAATTTATCGATTCTCTCCATGCCTCGCGTCCATAGGCGTAATGTTAAAATTATGCCGTTGGGGAGGGGGGGGGGCAAATGCCCATTTTGCACCCCCCCCCCCCACTGGATCCGCCACTGGGGGGGGGGTCCACTCCCGTATATTTGGGGGAGTGAATAAGTATATAAACGAACTTGCTCCAGAAAGTCAAATGCATAAAAAACTACGCCAACTTGGCTCAGGTTTCCGTTTTTGTACAGTTTAAGTATGTACACTTATTTAAGCTGTATTTCTTATCGCTTTTGTTATCGCTGTTAAAAAAACGGTTATCGTTATCGTTTATCGTTTATCGTTTCGTTATCACTGTTAAAAAACAATTATCGTTATCGTTTTAACGTTTTATCGCTATCTTTGTTACCTACATTTTTGAATATTTTTTATCGTGTATCGTTTATCGTTATCGCAAACCTTTCTTATCGTTTTATCGTTATCGCAGGTCCGAAAATTAGTTATCGCGTAAAGGCTAAAGCACTGGGTATTAGTATGTTTTGTTTTAGGGCCTTGGGGTAAAGGTGGTAGGTAAAGTAATCTTGGTTTTGGAGTCCGCGGCGTCATGAAGTTATTCCTTTATATAGATCTGGCAGCGCTTGATACCAATTTACTCAAAAGTGACGCAGCAATACAAACCTGACGCGCTGAATATTATGCGCTGAATATTATCAATATTATACGAAGCTTTTCGAAATTTCACCCAATTTCACCGTGAACGGGCGTGAACGCCGAATCATTTTGATATACATATTTTGATGTCACTCGTGATTTTCTATCTTTAGGAGTCACAGTCACGCTCATTCAGTCACAGTCACGCTGTAACAGTAAGTGTGAACGATCATGATGGTTTAATCACTTCAACGGCTTCAAGTTTTTGCATAAAATACATATCTCAATCTCGTTTGTCGTAGTGAAGGATTGGAGGTAGAAATGAATGAAATGACTTGCATTCACTGCCTGAGTAATGATGGACTTAGACTTACAAAAAATGGGCGAAAGCTGGTGCAATGTCACCTAGCATTTGTGATCAGTGGTGGCAGAACACCTTCAATAAAGGGAGAGCACTGCCAAGTGCCAACTCTTGGTCCCATTCTTTTCATGCAATATAGGGCTAATGTTAAAATGCCAACGTCAAAGGGGGCACGCCGCACGGTGCTCCCCGTTCCGCCGCTTGTTTGTGATGTTACTTATTGTGATGTGGTTACCTTAGCTTCAAAATGCTACTGAATGCAAAGGGACATCATTTGGAATTATTTCAATTTCCAGACATTCTACATTCTACAATCTACTAGCTATTATATATCTGTTAAAACCTAGAAAAAAAATTATGAGACACGTCGGTAGGTATAGTTACGACTTACGGCTGAATAATGCCACAGACTCACAACTTGAACTGTCTTTTCTCAGTAAATATAAAGCAAAACATCTAACCTGACCTAACCTTACCTACAACCTACCAACATGCAGCCTACAAATTACCAACTTATGGTGGCAGGTGGTGATAATTGTTAATGATGAATGATAATATTGGATTTGAATAATGTAAGGATTAACTTTTATCCATGACACACTTTTCACTTACCTACTCTGTACTCAAAATAACTAGTAAGGGGTTCTATCAAATTATGTCTATATTACAGGAATCAAACAAACTTTGTTGTAGTTATGTGCCCTACTCTGACCAAACAATACACAAATTTTAAATTTATCAAACATTTCATTATACGAGCTTCGTAAAGTTATCAGTTTTCAAGTATTAACACAACATAGGTACCCAAATAATGTAAGTAATCATTACATAAGTTGTGTAGAGCTTCAAACTCCTTGCAGGAACGTGTATCATTCAATACTCAGGCTTGCTGCTACAAGACAATTCTACTTGACCCTTGAGTCCTTGACATAACATACAATTATCTATGTACAATTCAGTGCACCAGATCTTTAAAAGTATATGATCTGAAGGTTGCAGCATAATTAATTGTGTTATATACCAATTTACTTTTATGCATTGCAATTATGCAGTAATTGGTAGGGATCTGTTGAATTATACAAGTGTCTAATACAAGTATTAGATTTTAGAAGAGTAAACTTATTTAAATATTGTTATATGGCTACCTACAAAGGCAGGCATACAATTGCATTGTAAGTAAATACCAAAGTATGTGGATTTTTAAAAGTTTTCTGAAGAAAAAAAAACTGAATATTAAGCCATGCAAGGCTGAAATATAGTAATGCATTTTTGTCAATCTGGCCAATGTGAATCTATCTAATCAATATGAACCCATTGAAACTGAACTCAAATTGAACATGAATGAAGCATGGCCATGAGTTTTGTTAAATTTATTTTTCATCTCTTTGTCTCCATTCTTTTTTCAACACAATTGATATCTTGAATAATTTCACTAAAATATTCCTTTTTTAATTAGAGACTTCATGTATTGTAGGCAAAACCAAACAAACCTTGGAGGTTAGCTGTGGTATATTAAGCATTCTTTAAAATTAGGCCCACAATCCACATTGCACTAAATATAAAAGAATTTGATTTCCTTGAAAACCAAATTGTTAGGTAATAATATAGTGTCAAGTGTCATCACATGATATGATGATAATGTATTTTAGTGTCATGGGTGTATTTCCTCTGAGACCAGCAAGAGGCCCTCTCAGGGTAATGTAGTACCTACCAATGTGCAATAGATGAGATATATCAGGACCTACTCTGTCTAGGCATAGCATTTAAACTAACCAGGTGACATATGTGACTTCAGCTGTCTATCATCATGTCTCAAGTGATTACTATTTTTGGCATTGGAGCATTTGTTTTATGCTTTAGAAGTATGAAGTGATTAATAAGGATGTGTAGAATACAAATATCTAATACAAGGTGTTAAAAGTGCTAAAAAGGGACAGATTTCTTTCTTGAAGGGGGCTCACGCTCACCACAGACTGCTCAGATAACATCATTGCTACATGTGGCTTGATAACATGTAGGTAGATAACATGTAGCTTTGAAGAGCGTACACCAATCTTAGAAGACTGCATGTAGCCTTTCTGCCCTCCCTCTACCTCAGCCATGAACCAGGACCCCCGGTGTGCCAGTGTAGTTGAGTACCAAGCTGCCCGTTCACGAGCACTGCCCCTTCGGTGTACCAGCAGATCTGTAATGGCTCCCCGGCGAAGGGGCACGCGGCAGTGAAGGGCCGTTCGCTGACAGCGGCGCGCTGAGACTCGCCATGGCCAGTCACAGCAGCGGCGCGCCGCCGCGCAACAGCGGCGCTCACCAGCTGGCCGAGGGCGTGGCCCGGCTGCGGGTGGCGCCGGCCACGGCCGAGGCGGCCGGCGGCGCGGCGCCCGCCGCCCGGCACACCGTGCCCCACAACTGGCAGGTAGGTACTGAGTGCCAGAGTGCCTCTACTCTACCCTGAGTGAGTGCTGAGTGAGTCTGACCGGTTTTGTCTGTACGGATGGGCCGAGATACTGTCTGTACGAGTGGGTCGAGCGCCCTGTAACCCCTATAGTCTGTACGGATAGGCCGAGCGCCATATGTGCTGTCTGTACGTATGTATAGACCGAGCGCTATGTGCGCCGTGTGTGCTGTCTGTTTAGATGGGCGGATGTTCCGTCTGTACGGATGGGCCGGGCGCCGTGTTTGCTATCGGTACACATAGACCGGGCGCTGTATGAGCACTGGGCAGCGTGTGCTGTCTGTTCAGATGGGCCGGTATTCCGTATGTACGGATGGGCCGGGCGCCGTGTGAGCAGTGTTCCGTCTGTACGGATGGGCCGGTCGACGTGTGACCAGTGTTCCGTCTGTACTGTTGACCAGTGTGCGGTGTGTGTGGCTAGGTTGGGACGGGGATATTGTCTGTGTGGATGGGTATAGCGCCGAGTAACCACCGCCCCGACCCCGGCAGGCCACCAAGTCGACGGTGGTGGAGCGGATAGCGTACCTGTTCAACAGCGCCGCCATGTGCGACGTGCGCTTCGTGGTGGGCCGAGACGCCAACCGGCAGGTGGTGCCAGCGCACAAATTCGTACTGAGCATCGGCAGCGCCGTCTTTGACGCCATGTTCAACAGCTCTCTGTCCACCGAGGTGAGATATTTAGGGCGATATGAGTCTGTGAGTCTGTATGTGTGGTGTGAGTCGGTATGAGTCTGTGGATTACGTGTGCGCTCCCACCCGCCATCATACAGTCCACGGTCTGGGCGGCGTTTCCTGCGGGCAGCCTGTGTAGCTGATAGGCTCGTTGGTGTGCCCCAGGACGAGTTTATCGCACTGCCGGACGTGGAGCCGCAGGCGTTCCTGGCACTGCTGCGCTTTCTCTACACGGACGAGGTGCTGATCGGACCCGAGACCGTCATGACCATCCTGTACACGGCGAAAAAGTACGCCGTGCCAGCCCTGGAGCGAGAGTGTGTCGACTTTCTGGAGCGCAATCTCAGCCCGGACAATGCGTTCATGCTGCTAACGCAGGTCAGTGGAGTGACTGGAAGAACCGTTTTCCCGAGAGATTGCTTTTTTACCCAACATTTTGCTATTGCCTATGTTTGGCGGTGGGTAGTTGAATCGTAGTGCCACATGCCTGTTTCGTTGTAATTTTCAATGAAACGTCTAGTGCCTATGTCATCTGAAGTTTGCCCTACTCATGTGTTAAATATTTCGAAATATCGTTAGATAATATGACACACATCTGCGCTGGCTATCGTTAGACGCGTTTCCTAGTGTATTTTCTAGTCCGCTGACGTATTCGTCTCTGTCTCTTCATCTGTGACAGATGAGAATGCCTCTTCCCCAGCTGTTGATATCCTTCCAATCGCTGCTGAGCTGCGTATGGCTGCATGTATTTGAACCTGTGTATTTGTGTGCACCAGGCGCGGCTGTTTGACGAGCCCGAGCTGGCTGCCCTCTGTCTGGACACCATAGACAAGAGCACTGCCGTGGCACTGGCCGCCGACGGATTCGTGGATATCGACCGCGACACACTGTGTGCTGTCCTCGAGCGGAACATGCTGCGCATCCGGGAGTCGCGCCTGTTCGCCGCCGTCCTCAGGTCAGCGCGACTGCCGGGCCGAAGCGGACTTGTGAGCGTCTGAGGGTCTGAGTTTGTGTTTGAGGGGGAAGGGGAGGTCGATGACCGGGACAGACTGCATGGGATGACGTCATCAACTTGCGGGACAATGCCAATGAAGGGGTATTTCCGGTGTTTTGGGCTCACGGGCGAGGAAAATCGATGTGTGCCTTTTTTTCATAAAAAGCACATAAATCGGTGGATGGATATAAAGGTAACTAAGAATTCGGCGATGATGAATTATCTGACCTGACCTTACCGTTGCCGCTTGTATCCCCAGGTGGGCGGAGGCGGCGTGCCGGCGTCACGAGCTGCCGCCGACGCCGGAGAACCTGCGCTCCCAGCTGGGTGACGCGCTCTACCTGGTGCGCTTCCCGCTGATGAGTGTCGAGGAGTTCGCGGCCGGGCCGGCCCAGAGTGGCGTGCTCACCGACCGCGAGGTGGTGCAGCTGTTCCTCTACTTCACAGTCAGTATTCATATTGATTATTAGCGTAGGGCGGTCCGGTCCCTCAGCTGTAGCTGTTCGTTGCCAGGCTAGCGGCCTGTCTCGCGTTGCCGTTCTGTTTGCTTGTGTGTAGTTGAACGCTCACTGGTGAATAGTTGTTTTCAGTTAGCATCACCGTGCTTACGTTTCCCCTCTTTTAGCTGATATAATGGTATTCAACGTTGCCACTTGCACTCCTGGCCATTGCATTGGTTGATGCTTCACCAGTCAGTAACACTGACCCACGCTTCCCTCCTCTCCAGGTGAACCCGAAGCCGCGCGTCTCGTTCAGCGAGACGCAGCGCTCCTGTATGATGGGCGTGGAACAGTCGGCGTGCCGGTTCAGTCAGGTAGAGGCGCGCTGGGGCTACAGCGGCACCAGCGACCGAATCATGTGAGAGCCAACGGCGTAGGCGTGCCCGTCCCAGTGCCATCCGGCGCTCGGCCCTTCTGATAGCCCCCTGGAACATTGACCACGTTTCCATGGGCATCACTGATCCGGATCAGTAAAAATGGATTAGCTAATCCAGTATAGTTAGACAATATATGAAAACGAAAATAAGGGATTAACTGATTAGATAAGTTCAATCCACTTAGTTATGTCATGTAACGAAGAGTTCAAGAAATATAATACGATTTAAATTTGCTGACTTACCCATTCCAGATCTTACCCGGATCAGTGATGCCCATGGAAACGGGGTCACTGACCTTCTACATGTATTTTAAACTATTCAGTGCTAAAAGCTGAAACAGACTGTTTCCGCAGTCAGGAAATCGCATGCGAGAACCTATTCAAATACATTGAATCACCCTGGCATCAATCGTACGCACCTCCGTGTGCCCTTCAGTTTCGGTAGTTCTTCACAGTTCATGGTATTGTGCGATACCGTAAACGGGGGTGACTTTGCCATGTTTTCAACTTTAGACGCCTGTATTATTTAAGCTTGTTAACTTATTGGGATGACTCTATGTTCAAAACACGGATGAAGATTAGCTCTTTGGGTTTTACTATTATCGTATTTATATCTTGCCTAAAAATATAAATTTTAAGGAAAATGAGTCGTGGCAAAGTTAAACTGAAAAAGGGGTGACTTTGCCACTATGCCAAATAATGTTTTTTTTTAACGCTAACAAATACTTTTCAAGCATATTTGTTCCATTGTATGGGGAAGGGCAACCATCCTTAATTGTTTAATAGGAAAAAATAAAGCAGTGCAATATTTTTTTTTTGCTATTAAACGATGTACAAAGAAGGAGAGATACCTTACTTTTTATAATACATTATATTTGCTGAAAATAACTGAGATTTGATCGTAAATAGAAACTGAAAATGGTTCAGAATAGATAAATAAGCAAAGATATTATTGTATGGGTACTCTAGGACCTTGCCGCGTTTTTCCAGCGGCATTAAGCGGAACAGAAAGAGGACGTTCCTGCGGGAACTTACCGACACCCTTATTATCAGCGTTTTGATCTATAAAATGATACAGATTTCTTCAGCCAGTCTTATTGTCAAACTCAGGAGTTGTAGATGATCATGGCTGTGCTAAAAAGTTGGACCCAGCTTCATCCATTTTTTTATTTTGGTAACCTTTGCCTTTTTATACTCGCACTGTGGATTCCTGTGTTAGTTTTCAACATCTAAACTTTTACATTTAAAAAACCAGTTTAGAGATCAAAATGATGCTACATTTAAAACTTATTTTGAATTGCATTGGATAAGTATTTCATTTTTGCATTAATAACATGGTGGCAAAGTCACCCCATGTGGCCTGCAATTCACTTGGAAGAATCGCCACCAAAAATTTTAGCTAAATGAAGTGACAAATGCCAGTTTTGTTGGATATGCTAACTTAACAGCCTTGTCATGATCAACCATACCAAGTTTCAGCATCGCAGTTGGTCTAGAACATGGTTAGATAATAAAAAGTTCGGGCCTCTTCAAATTTGACCATTTCAATGACTCCAGTAAAATGGAGCCCAGTTCGGTATTTAGTGGTAACTTATCTCTCAGTGTTGGTTATGTTGGAAAGCCCATCAATTATCTTTCATTTGTGCATACAAAATTATTACATTATTCGTAAAATATCATTGGAGATAACTCTAAAGCATTTTTTGAAAAGCATGGCAAAGTCACCCAGCTTGGCAAAGTCACCCCCGTTTACGGTACCACTAGCGCCTCTATCACTGTCGGTGTGAGGGACCGGCGCCACCGCTCGGCCCTGTGCCAGTCTGTCTCCGAGCTGACCTTTCTCTCTCCGTTCAGGTTTTCGGTCGACCGCCGTATATTCGTGGTGGGCTTTGGTATCTACGGCGCCATCCACGGTCCGAGCGAGCACGGTGTGACCATCGGACTGGTGAACGTCCGAACCGGAGAGGTGGGTGAAAACGGGAGAGGTTCAATTGGGAGAAGTCAGAACTCACGAGAGGTCGAAATAATTAGAACGATAGGGTTGTTCGTTGAGAGGGATCCGAATGGGAGAGGTCGAGACGATGAGAACGGGGCTCGATGGCAGAGAGAGGCGTCGTGGTGGCTGGTGTAAGATGGGAGGGTCTCAAACGGGAGAAGTGGGTGGTCGGTCGCCGCGGTACTCGACCGTCACGATACCTGCCCTCGGGTGCTGGCCGATGGTTGACGGTGTGTTCATTGACGTCGTGTCATGCTACTCGACCCCAGGTGTTGGCCAGTCACGAGGTGACTGTGTTCAGTGACGGGTGTGCTGTGACGTGTCACATTACTGTCCTCAGGTGCTGGCCAGTCACGAGGTGACTGTGTTCAGTGACGGGTGTGCTGTGACGTGTCACGTTACTGTCCTCAGGTGCTGGCCAGTCACGAGGTGACTGTGTTCAGTGACGGGTGTGCTGTGACGTGTCACGTTACTGTCCTCAGGTGCTGGCCAGTCACGAGGTGACGGTGTTCAGTGACGGGTGTGCTGTGACGTGTCACGTTACTGTCCTCAGGTGCTGGCCAGTCACGAGGTGACTGTGTTCAGTGACGGGTGTGCTGTGACGCGTCACGTTACTGTCCTCAGGTGCTGGCTAGTCACGAGGTGACTGTGTTCAGTGACGGGTGTGCTGTGACGCGTCACGTTACTGTCCTCAGGTGCTGGCTAGTCACGAGGTGACTGTGTTCAGTGACGGGTGTGCTTTGACGTGTCACGTTACTGTCCTCAGGTGCTGGCCAGTCACGAGGTGACGGTGTTCAGTGACGGGTGTGCTGTGACGTGTCACGTTACTGTCCTCAGGTGCTGGCCAGTCACGAGGTGACTGTCACGAGGTGACTGTGTTCAGTGACGGCTGTGCTGTGACGTGTCACGTTACTGTCCTCAGGTGCTGGCCAGTCACGAGGTGACTGTGTTCAGTGACGGCTGTGCTGTGACGCGTCACGTTACTGTCCTCAGGTGCTGGCCAGTCATGAGGTGACTGTGTTCAGTGACGGGTGTGCTGTGACGTGTCACGTTACTGTCCTCAGGTGCTGGCCAGTCACGAGGTGACGGTGTTCAGTGACGGGTGTGCTTTGACGTGTCACGTTACTGTCCTCAGGTGCTGGCCAGTCACGAGGTGACTGTGTTCAGTGACGGGTGTGCTGTGACGCGTCACGTTACTGTCCTCAGGTGCTGGCCAGTCACGAGGTGACTGTGTTCAGTGACGGGTGTGCTTTGACGTGTCACGTTACTGTCCTCAGGTGCTGGCCAGTCACTAGGTGACGGTGTTTAGTGACGGGTGTGCTGTGACGTGTCACGTTACTGTCCTCAGGTGCTGGCCAGTCACGAGGTGACTGTGTTCAGTGACGGGTGTGCTGTGACGTGTCACGTTACTGTCCTCAGGTGCTGGCCAGTCACGAGGTGACTGTGTTCAGTGACGGGTGTGCTGTGACGCGTCACGTTACTGTCCTCAGGTGCTGGCCAGTCACGAGGTGACTGTGTTCAGTGACGGGTGTGCTGTGACGCGTCACGTTACTGTCCTCAGGTGCTGGCCAGTCACGAGGTGACTGTGTTCAGTGACGGGTGTGCTGTGACGCGTCACGTTACTGTCCTCAGGTGCTGGCCAGTCACGAGGTGACTGTGTTCAGTGACGGGTGTGCTTTGACGTGTCACGTTACTGTCCTCAGGTGCTGGCCAGTCACTAGGTGACGGTGTTCAGTGACGGGTGTGCTGTGACGTGTCACGTTACTGTCCTCAGGTGCTGGCCAGTCACGAGGTGACTGTGTTCAGTGACGGGTGTGCTGTGACGCGTCACGTTACTGTCCTCAGGTGCTGGCCAGTCACGAGGTGACTGTGTTCAGTGACGGGTGTGCTTTGACGTGTCACGTTACTGTCCTCAGGTGCTGGCCAGTCACTAGGTGACGGTGTTCAGTGACGGGTGTGCTGTGACGTGTCACGTTACTGTCCTCAGGTGCTGGCCAGTGACGAGGTGACTGTGTTCAGTGACGGGTGTGCTGTGACGCGTCACGTTACTGTCCTCAGGTGCTGGCCAGTCACGAGGTGACGGTGTTCAGTGACGGGTGTGCTGTGACGCGTCACGTTACTGTCCTCAGGTGCTGGCCAGTCACTAGGTGACGGTGTTCAGTGACGGGTGTGCTGTGACGTGTCACGTTACTGTCCTCAGGTGCTGGCCAGTCACGAGGTGACTGTGTTCAGTGACGGGTGTGCTGTGACGCGTCACGTTACTGTCCTCAGGTGCTGGCCAGTCACGAGGTGACGGTGTTCAGTGACGGGTGTGCTGTGACGTGTCACGTTACTGTCCTCAGGTGCTGGCCAGTCACGAGGTGACGGTGTTCAGTGACGGCTGTGCTGTGACGCGTCACGTTACTGTCCTCAGGTGTTGGCCAGTCATGAGGTGACGGTGTTCAGTGACGGGTGTGCCTGTGACGCGGCACGTTACCCGTCCTCAGGTGCTGGCCAGTCACGAGGTGACCGTGTTCAGTGACGGCTCGGAGAGCACGTTCCGCGCCATGTTCCCGGAGCCGCTGGAGGTGGAGCCGGCCGTCCAATACATCGCCTCCGTTACACTAAAGGTAAGACGGCGCCTCTGTCACACTAAAAGTAAGGCGGCGCCTCCGTCACACTAAAGGTAAGGCGGCGCCTGCGTCACGCTGAAGGCGAGGTGGCGCCACTCGAGACCGGCACGGATGGCCACAGACGTTGCTGCTCATCTCTCCTCCTTAGATGTTCATTGGCTGGCCGTACTGACGACATTCTATGTGAGATTGACAGGATCGGGAAGAGCTGCAGGCATGCAAGGCCGCACAAATCGCAATACGAAGCATGAGGCAGCCATTCGCATATCATTATATCATTACGGTTGTTCGTCTGCGCGATTTCAACTGTTCGTCGAACATAATTAGTCCACCAGTGCACAAAACTCCGTAGATGGTTCATCTAAATGTTGGGGCGTCCAAGGCATCCTCGCTGTGAGCTGGATTCCTACCGCCTCCCCTCCTCGACACCACGCTGCGCGCTGATGCCGCGCGCGCTGCCCTCGTTCGCAGGGTCTCGACTCATACTACGGTACCCACGGCTCCCGACTGGTACCAGTCGAGTGCGCCAGCGGCGGTGGCAAGGTAACCTTCCACTTCGAGGCGCCAATCGGTAACAACAACGGAACCTCGGTGGAAGACGGCCAGATCCCCGAGATCATATTCTATGTGTGAGTTCAGTCGCTGTTACGGCGTTCGGCTGGGGTGGGTTGGGTCTCGTGCCCAATATCTCAGTTTCCGGGACGGAGATGGTGATTGAGCTCACCGGTCTTTTTCATATCAGAATGCTGGTGTCTAATGCTGCCAGGAATAGAGAGTGACGACATTGCGATAGGTATACTCATTGTGCAAACAAGACGATAAGTTTGTTCAGTTTATTTGTGCGGTGTACGGTGTTCGGTTTGCCTGTGGAATATTTATATATTGGCATGCTCGTTTTGAATTTCGCCTGTGCTGTACACTGTTTCGGGGCGGAACAGTGTTTCCCACCTCATGGTGTTGCGGTGAGGCGCTGCCGGGCACCGGGCTGGGCCCGTGTGTGTGAGAGATCTGTGCTCATCATGAGAGATCTGCTGGTCGTGTGTGCCGCGGCTTGCCTCTGCGTATTGTGTATCGTGTTCTCTGAGTGTTAGCGCTGCCGAATAGCGCGTCACTACCGGTCCTCTGCTGAATTACTGCCACGAGCCGCTCCGTGAGCAGGCGGCGGCAGCGTCCGGGTGTTAGGAAGCGCTTCGTACGGTGTGGGCAACAGCAGACTTTACTGCCAGTCGGCGTCAATTTCGGTCACGGGTGCCTGGTGCATGCGGCACCCGCTGGCGAAACGCGCTTTGTGATATTAGGTTTGCTTCTTCAGATGGATATTCTGGAGCTTTTGAGATACAAACAGCGACATGGTTGCCAATGTAAGCAGACGTGGCGAGGGACTCGGCTGTTACTCGGTAAGGTGTTTTAGTGGTGTGTGCAACAACAGACAAGACATTGCCAGTCTTGTAGGGTTGTCATCCGAAGGTTTCTTACGCTGCCGTGAATACGATACGATACGACTACCTGACTTGCTCTTGTGTGCTATGAATACATCATGTATATCGTCAGTTTTACTCAGTTTTTGTGACATCTTAGTTAAGGGCATATTTTATGTAATTCGTAGGAAATGACCTACATAATTCGAACCAAGCAGCTATTATCCTATGCGTCATGCGAACCCTCGTGAACACTCTTCAGTCCCCAGTCGGCTCCGCTGCCGCCAGCTGCCGGTCGTGATTAGCGTTCCTACAGGTGTGCTGCCGTCATCAGGGCCTCACCGGACCGATAACTAGGCCGACGGCGACGGCGAGTGAGGAGCTCATATACACTGGTATCGCAGCCGCAGTCTGCACCGAACCCCTCTCACTGTCGGAGCTCAGCGGCGCCCGCCTGGACACAGCAGCAGCACGAAGACAACAGCCGGGATGAAGGCCGAGAAATTTACGCTGCTGCGTCACTTTGACGGCATGCCGCAGCCGTCTGATTTCCAGCTGGAGTCTGAGGACCTTCCTGAGCTGAAAGAGGGTGAGTTCCTCTGTGAGGCCGAGTTCCTCAGCGTTGACCCGTACATGCGGCCCTACTCGAAGGACCTCAACCCGCCAGTGACCATGATCGGATCACAAGTGGCGCGCGTACTGGAGAGCAGGAGCGACAAGTTCCCGGTGGGCAGCCGGGTGGTCGGGGCGCTTGGATGGCGTTCTCGCACCGTCGTCAGTGAAGACATGCCGTCCGCCGTCTTTGGACTGAGGAAGCTTCCTGACCTGGGCGACCTTCCGACGTCATATGCTCTCGGCTCGTGCGGCATGCCGGGCAATACAGCCTACTTCGGCTTCCTGGAGATCTGCAAGCCCAAGGAGGGCGAGACGGTGGTGGTGACGGGCGCGGCTGGCGCCGTCGGCAGCCTGGTCGGACAGATCGCCAAGATCAAGGGCTGCCGCGTGATCGGCTTCGCGGGTACGGACGACAAGTGCGCCTGGATCCGCCAGCTCGGATTCGACGTGGCCATCAACTACAAGACGTGCGCGGACATCGACGCTGCCCTGAAGAAGGCCGCCCCGGACGGCGTGGACTGCTACTTCGATAACGTCGGCGGAATGCTCAGCTATCAAATCCGCAAACAGATGAACCTGTTTGGTCGTATTTCTGTGTGTGGCTTTATCTCCAGCTACAACGAGAAGACCGGTGAGGAGCTGAAGCTGGAAATCCCCGAGAAGCTGATTCTGTTCAAGCAGCTTAAAATGGAGGGTTTCATCGTCACCCGCTGGGACCAGGAGGAGACATGGAACAGGGGCGTCGAACAGATGGCCTCCTGGATCAGGGAGGGCAAGATTCAGGTCCAGGAGACGGTCACGGATGGATTCCAGAACATGCCGCAGGCCTTCATCGGCATGCTGAAAGGAGAAAACACGGGGAAAGCCGTGGTGAAAGTCAATGCTCAATGAGACGAACCCCTCACTCAATAGTCTAATGAGCATTTGTGTGCTCGTGTATTGTGTTCTGCTGATTAAATTCGAGATCTTGCAACGAGCGATGTGTACTTTTGTTTCATTGAGTTGAGGTAGAAACACATCCCTAGCACATTGCTTCGGGCCTGACATGTGTTTACAGGGACCCATCTCGATGGAGATATGAGTACTGAGTAGGCAGTAACCCGCTCATTATCTTTATGTTGGTAGTGAAGTCAGTTCTCCTACCCTGCCGCGGGTGACTGCAGCGGCCCGCGGCGCCGGCCGGTGACCGGCACTGTTTGCACGTGCACGGCACTGGTGCGCTGCTGCGTCACTTAGATCACCGGTCCAATTAGGAAAACCCATCGCTCGTCGGAGATCGGGCGGGGCGGCGGCCGATTGAAGTGGGCGGCCATCCAACGCCGGTGGCCAGCGGGCCATCTGGGATGACCGATGATCAGGGCATACTGAGGAACGGAGGCGTCTGTCATGATACGCAATACGTTTGCCTGAAGCGTTCACAGTTCTGCCGCTAAATTCACTATTATTGTGCACAATGGTTTGATTGTCATGTCACGGATGCAGTGCGCTTCAAGTGACTTTAAAAGGGTTATTTGGCGTTGATTGATAGGTGGCAGCCGGCAACATGGGCAAAGTGCCGCATTTCATTCTACTGACAGTGGCTGAAGTGAGAGGATGCCATTGTTACTACTGGTGAATAGAATAATCACTTATGCTCGGTACGCGCATATGTAGAGATAAATAAATAAAAACAATGTTCAAGTGGTCTAGGACAGTACAGCTCGACCCCACGTCCGACCTTCGGCGCTCACCCGGGAACAGATGCTTATCTTAGAGACTGGCGGCAAAAAGTCGACACCTGTCACCGATTTGGCCCCCGATAGAGGCGATACTGAGCGAAGGATGCGTCGGAGGGCCAGTCGTTAGGAAGACCCTGCGACCGAGGAACGCACATGTGCGGCACTTTGCGACGTACGGGTCCGACTTTTTAATCCCCGGGCCCGATGTAAAAAGAATATAGTTTTTAAACTTTTATTTTCGTTTATCACTGCGGTGCACAGTGGTTGAAGAAAACTTTATATGTATTCCAGTCCACTATACAAGTAATAATACTCGTAATAATACCTACCTGTAACATACGAAAGCCTTTGTCACATGCTGGTAACATAATTCATTCATTTGTTCTGTGACTTTTCTACCGTATGCTGAATTTCTTTTTTCCTATTCTTATCGTGATACCCCTGTGTCGGGGCCCACAAATTGCCTGCGCTGCCTGCAGCTGTGCCTGCGCCTCCGCCTGCTTACGCTCGAGCTCCTGTTTCTCTCGCTGACGCGCCGCCTGCAGACGCGGCTCCAGCTGCGCGGCCAGCCAGCCCGAGAGCTGCGCCTGTCCGGCGGCGCCGGCGGTCGCCGTGGCCGCGGCGGCGGCGGCCTGGTGCGCCTGCCGCAGCGCCGGCTCTGCCAGCTCGCCGGCGGCGACCATCTGCTGCTGGTACTGCGTCTGGGCGCGCGCCACCGCCTGCCGCGTCAGCTCCGCGGCGGCGACCGCCTCCTGCTGCCGGAGCGCGGCGTTCCTGGTCCGGTGGCCGGCCAGCTGCCCCTCCAGTCGGCCGCACAGCGCGCTCCGCTGCTGCTCCGCCGCCGGGCCGGCCCCGTCCCGGCCGTTGTCAAAGTGCTGCAGCGCCGCTCGCACGGCAGCGGCGTGGGCCTCACTCAGCCGAACGTCCGTGACGCTGGGACCGTCGGCGGGCAGTGCGGCGAGCATGGCCGACTCGTACGCCGCGCTGCTCGCCTCAGCGAGCGCCGCATTGTGGCTGTCGGCCTGAGCGGCCCGCAGCTGCAGCCGCTCGGAGTTGAGGCCTCTGATCCGCTCCCAGTGCTCCTGGATGGCGGCGGCGAGCGGACGGATTGTCTGCGCCTCGCTGAGGTGATCCACGCCGGGACAGGACACCAGCGTCTGACGGGCCTCGCTCTCGGCCTCCCGATGGACCTGCTGCAGTGTGGTCTCGGAGAGCGGCTCGGCGGCGGTGGCCTCCTCCAGCCGGGCTGTGTAGGAGCGCAGGGCCGCCTGGACGGCTCGCCGGGCCGCCGCGGCCGCCAGGTGATCGGCGGCCGCCTCCAGCTGTGGCGGGAGGCGGGCGGCGTGCTCGGACAGCGAGCGGCACAGCGCGGCCAGCGCGGCGCCCGTCAGCGGCCGGCCGTCGATCTCGCGCACCGGCAGCCGCGCGGCGTCCAGCAGCCACTCGGCGAACTCTCGCAGCTGCTCGGCAAACTCGGGAGCCAGCTGGGAGGCGGCGCCGCTGAACTCGGGGTCGCCGCCGGCCGCCGCCGCGCCCGGGTGCGGCAGCAGAAAACACTCGAGTTCCTCAGCGGCCAGGCCCCCGTCAGCCACTGTGTCAATGTCTGTGCCGTCGCCGCCGTCCTCGATGTCTCCTCCGGCCAGCCAGTGGCCGAGGATGTGCCGTCCGCCCTCAGCGCCGTACGGTTCCTCGGCTGGGAAGGCCCAGTCGCGCACCAGCAGCACCAGCCGCGGGGTGCGGTGCGGCGCGCCGGCGGCCGAAGCCAGCAGCCGGGCGTACTCTGCGCACAGCCGCGCCTGCTGCAGGTCGTCCGACTGCGGCTGGCGCGACACGTTCAGCACCTGCACGCCGCTCAGCAGGCCGGCCAGCGCGCGCATCACCACACTCTCGGTCGGCGTGGACACGTTGTCGAACGCGCCCTGGGAGTCGACGAGTAGCACGTGCGCCGTCCGGCCGTCGGCGAGTGTGACCGGCAGCGGGCGGGACCAGAGCTGCAGGTCGCGGGTGTGCGCCTGCCGCCCGCCACGCCACGGGAACCCGGTGAGGGGCGCGTCCTCCAGCCAGTCGCCGCCGCCGCCGGCGGACTGGGAGCGCAGGTAGCGCAGCAGCACGTTCAGCAGGAACGACTTGCCGCGTCGGAAGGCGCCGGTGATGGAGACCGGTATGACGGGCGAGTCGCGGAGCTGGTCGGAGAGCAGCACCCGCTCCAGAGTCGCCTCCTGCAGTCGCAGCTCCCCGGAGTCGGGGTCGGCAGCGAACAGCGGCATCGCCCGGTCCTCCTCCGCCGCCATTCTGTTGCTATGTTCTTGTTTCAAAATACCTCAGACGATCTCAAATGCGTATTCACCGAGATGTCTTGCTTTGTTGACCAGCACTCAAAGTGCAGTCAAACCAACTTGACCGAGTCACACTCCACTCTCGACTGACATTCGGGGGAGCGCCGTGCAGCGTCTCTGTCGAGCACTGGCCCTCGAGTCGCAGCCTGTTCCGGCGGGCGGTTATCAGCAGTTGGTGACGAGAACTGGCCGGGGTTTCCGGCGGATTCCGCGGCCGGCGTGCACTGCGTGGGCGCTGCGCGGTGACGTATGTCGGCCGGCCCGGACGAGATGATTCACTGTGGACGCGCTGGTAAACACTGCGGAGCTGGCGCGGTCGGGAACACGTGTCACCGTATATACGGACGGACTCGATTAGTGATACTTCTCATCTTACCCCGAACCTTTCCAATGACCTAGAACCATATTTTAAGCCTTGGTAGGTATAAGAGGCTGCTATGTCTTCATGCTCCACAAATTCACGCCTCCTTTTCCCAAGCGGGGGAGACGTGAGTCCTACTGAGTCATAGGAAAAACCGTTCACAGACGCCGCGGGCGATATCGCTGGCTGTAAACGGGGAATCACATTAGGTACTGCAGCTTTATTTACCTACCGCAAGGAGCTAGAAAAGCTCACCACGGTCGGGAACAACCGATCGGAACGGGATTTTGATAGCAGCGGACAGCCTATGCTTTTGACCTTATCCTGAGCCTGTCGAGTGATTTCGACCACTTTAAAATGAGCCATTATTTCGTTGATAATCTACATCGACGCGTTAAGTGGAGGTCGCAACATTGGCCTGACTTCCTCCAACCTGACCTGGCCCGAGCTCTTTGTTTCCCACTTTAGTGGGGAATCATTATAATGGTTTCAGTGTCCTTTCTGGTCCGTTCCCGGTTAAACAGTACCTTTTCATGCCTATGGCTAGCAAGTAGCAATATCACATGCATTATCGTGTTCATTCTGCTCATTGTCCTTGCAAATGGGACCGGTGCTGATCAAAGGAACGGCAATGATTTCAGTGAACGGTTTGACGTCTCGGTAAAGGTATCGATTATGGCCAGTATATTGCGACTGCGATGGTGTAACCGTTCGGTCGCTGTGCCCTGTTTCGGCCATTATCTAATGACAGGGGCGCAGGGTGCGGCCGGTCGGCGCGGTCACGACGTGACCTCCCGTGGAGCCGGGGTCAGAGGTCAGCCTCCCTCCCACCCCAGCACCAGCTCAGCGCGCAGGCGTGGCCGACTCTCGCTTCTTTCCATGGTGCGGTAGTGTTTTGCATTCCGCTATTACGAGGCAATTATCCATAATTTGATCGGTACTGCGTTTGACTCGAAAGTGGCCGGTCGCACGCACCTCTACCAGTCGGATAAATAACTGCGTGGGATAAATCGAACGATAATTTCTCTCCTACGCACAGGACGTTCTTTGCATAATGCGTATATGCCGACCTATTGGTTTGTTACGCTTGACGCAGTCCCATGCGGTATGCGGTATGTAAACCGTTCTTTAGCGTTTTGGGGATACTTTCATGCTTTCGTCGTGACTCATGTTCTCCCACGTTAATTAAAAATGTCTATCATACGAAAGCGATTTCAGGGAAAGCATGCTGTCAAACAAGCTCTTCGCCCTGCGATCCTTTCTCGGCTCATCCCGTCCGTCCGTCCTCAGGCTGAGCACCAGTCGGGGGTGTCGCACCTCCGTCAGCCGTCCGTTCACCGCCCTCGGGGCGAGCACCAGACTCCGCCGTGGGCCCGATTGAAAGATACCGACCGGCCGGCAGCCGGCGCTCCGTTAATTAATCAACACAGGCCCGAATGGGCCGGCGATGAGTTCACAATACTGCACCGCCGGAGGCCAGCCCCGGCCCGTATAGAGCCATCCTAGCGCATCCTGCCCGTACAGAGCCGTTTTACTTGCCCCGGGCCGTATAGTCGTATAGGTATACGACGGGACGGTTCAGGCCGATCTTCACGTATAATTTCCTCTTTCATTGAACTGATCCTGAATGCACTGTGATGCAGATACGTCCCATTCCCGATTCGATGGCGGCACTCAAATGATATTTCGGGGTAACCTGGAATCAGCTCCGGCCGCAGCACGGCGGACAAGACGCCGTGGACAGTCAGATGGTCTGTCCTGGGTCCGGTCTGCGTGCGCGGGCCCTTCTGTGCTCCATTAGCGCCACGGTGAGCGGTCGGCTGGCCGTGACGACTCCATCATGGGCCGCCCTTGTGCAATGTCTCGCTGGGGAGTGGGGGAGGAGATGGAGTAGTGACTCGGTACAGCGGGGCCGCTCCCTCAGGCTGCAGCGGTGACCTGAAAACCCGACAGTTTGATAGTCGATATTTTTTAGTAACCGAATCGCGCCGAAATGATGACGTTCATTTGTTGACGTTAAATTAACTTTTATTGGAAAGCAGCAAGAAATAAAAAAGATTGAGCAATATTGGCAATCTGAAAGACTAATCTAAGTAATTATTGCGTTTTACTTACTGCCTTTTAAATGCATAACTTTTTAAGTTAATAGTGCATAACTTAAAAAGTTTAAATGCATAACTTTTGACCCGGTTGCGACGTACGTTGGACGATGGACAAGGCATCTTGATTTTCCACTGAAATACCCATGGCACGATGTTTCGTTGCCTTACATGAAATATGAATGCATTCATGGTAACCGTAAATCAAATCTCTTGACTCCCATTGCGATTGAATAGAAATGCACCCAATCATACAACAATAGCACAATCACCACACTCAGCTTGCGGTTCATTTATATTGCACGACATTGCGTAAGCGGTGCACACAATTAGAGCCCGATAACCGTAATGGTCCATCATCTGCGGGGTCTGATGGCTGTCGTGCCGCGGCCCCATGTTCGACTGCGAGCAGAGCGGAGCCCCAGTCACGTTTCCCGTGTACGACAGGTGAAACGGCGCCGACGGACTCGCTCTCAATGGGCATCAACACGTGATAACTTCAGTAGCAATCCCGCAATGGTTCGGACGTGCGGCATAAAGCACCCGACTATTGCCGATTGACATGGAAGAGAGCAACTGAGCCGACTGCTCCTCGCATGATGGATGATGTACAACTATCGAACACACAACAGTCAGTCGGATCAAAGGGAGATCGGGCGCTGCACCAGGGCATATTTTAAGGATTTTTCACTGCGTCCCAAAGGTGGCATAGGGCACATGCTTTGATCGGAAAGGGCACATTGCAAGCGAAATAGTATATAATGCAAGTGAGATAATGTACAGATACATTGTGTGCTGTGCTGGTGGAGGGGCACTGCAAGCGGGATATTGGGAGCGGGCTGTGATTGCTTTTGGCCAGTCTCGAAATTCGCCCAGTCGTAGTGCGTTCTTTATCCGCATTCAAAGGGCGGACCGGCGATTTCATGACATTTACATTGTTGTTAGTCACTCGTTTTCCTGAACGACGTTGGGCGTATTTGACCCCCTTGAAGTACCAAATTGTACCTATGCTTAGAGAATAAAAATGAAAATGCACATGATTAAAATGTGATACATACGTCTCTTCATGCGTTTTTCACCCTTATCAATCGATTCAAAATAGAGGTTGACGTGTGAAACATTGCCAATTTGCATTGAAGATACTATGTGTTTGAAATAATTAGATGACGTAAGGTCAAACAGTACCCACCTAAGTTGTGACAAGAAATCATCGGATTTTAAAGCTACACAAAAAAAATCCATCATAGATTAATGCTTTAGATGAACGGATGCTTTGGATGCTTCGGATTTCGCTTCCTTACTGCCTATCATGTAATATAACCCAAACTTTTCCCAATGGAAGTTCCTTTGTTTAATTACTATGCCCAGTAATGTGTCGATTTTGTGCCATTTCCGGGCGCTTTGGGGGGGGGGGGGGGGAGCATGGCCCCGTGGCCCCCTCTATATCCTCCTATGGCCAGACGGCCATGACGGCCCTGATCTGACCGTATGCCATCAAATGTGAAACTTCGCAATGATGCGATATTTTTTCGGAAAACGTGCCGGTATCTCAAAAACTATGATAGCTAGGAGGACGCAATCGATAGGAGAAAAGCAATCGATATATCTTGAACAGCTCTTTCGTCAATATTTCGTCAGAATTGAGTTGAGATCAACGGTTGAGGCTCCATAGCCAAAAACGAGTAAAATTACAATTTTTGTCAATATAGGTTTCATGAAAAGCTTTTGAACTAAAAAAAGGTAGAGAATTTTCGTTTGCACGATCGTTCTTCTCTCATTTTTACCTCGAAATGTCAAGGTCAGAACTTGACCTCACATTAAGGTCATTTCGTGACCAAGATAGATCATGTCGCATATCAGTCGATGCGTTTCGATGAGGTACCTCAAAACAATGATACAATCCACTGTGCATGCAAAAGCCCTGTAGGGCCGGATTTTGGGCCAGGCTCCGGGCCTGCGGGCTCCAACTTGACATCTCTAAACAGGACTTTAGGGAAGGGCAGGACACAGAGTCTGAGCCCTAAGGACAGGGCAGGCACAGGCCATGAAGCTAAGATAAGACGGATACTTGAGGGCTGGGTAGGATGCAGGGTCCGAGGGCAAGGCAAGGCGCAGGTCTGAGGCTATCATTACACAAGGCCGGAGAGTAGTGCAAGACACAGGCGGCCTTAGAACACCTGATGATCAACACACCTGATGGCAGGGCAACATGCAGGATCTTAGAGCGGGGCAAGAAATAGTACCTAAAGGTAGAGCAAAACATAAGACACAGGTATGGCACAAGGCCCGAAACACCGCCCACGTCTTGTCATACTATACCTTCGGGCCCCGAAGGTATGACAAGACGTGGGCGGTGTTTCACGGACGCTGCTATCAAATTCCGCGAGCTGACGTCATACTTGTGGTAGTGTTTGAGCAATGGCCCTGTTGATGTCTCCATGGAAACCCAATTTGACACGTGTAATAGCAGCGTGCTGCTATCACCGGTGAAACAGGGCCAGGGTATGGGGCCTGAGGGCAGGGCAAGGCTCAGGGCATGAAGGCAGAACAAAGCACGGGTTCTGAGGACAGGTAAGGGCACGGGGCATGAGGACGGGAAACGGCACGGGACCTGAGGGCGGGAGACACCACAGGGCCTGATGACAGGGCAGGGCACAGCGCCTGAGGGCGGGCATGGGACACGAGACCTTAGGG